AGTTATAACTATTTGATTTGAAAAGAAGTTATGTGCGACCCTACTATCCACCAACACCACAACCAACTATTCCCCGATCTGCCCCCTCACCTTCATGGTGTGATTTGAAGTAAATCTCACCAATGAATTTAGTGACACCTCCGCTAGATTCAAGAGCAGATGCTCCTCTTCCTCCACCCATCTTCCTCTATATACTTGTCATTTGTCTCCTCCCTCTCGTGAACTATGAAGTGCGCGCTCCTTGCAGCAGTGATATGGGTCATACTTCTCGTAGCATCTGAAACACAATCCTTTCACACTTTTATCCTGCAATTCTGCATCGATGAGTTGCTATAAATTGCCCCCTGGATGAGGCCCCGTATTCTTCTCTTTTGGTGCCTCTTTTTGAAATGACACTATCTGCGTCCTCGGTGCGGTGGTCGTCAAGGCACTCTTGTAAATTCCTCCTGTGTTGCCGCCCTTGTTGATCGTTGATCTTCTTTACTAATTTCTTATCTTCCATCATTCAAGCGAGCTCCATCATTTCCCTCAATCTATGCAACTTTAATGGTTTGAAGGCCGCTCGGATGTCGGGCTTGTGGCCCTTCAAGTTCCCCTCTAATCCTATTACAGAAATCCTACTCAGCCACTCCGACAGGAGGTCAAAACTATCTATATTTCATGACCTTCCGCTCCTGAGTCGGAGCATAGAATTGCTCATGGAGGTCTCCATCCCAAGTGGCTTGAAAACATTCCAACAAACAATCCTTAAATTCTTCCCACGAATGTATCGGAAACTTAGCCTCCATCAATTGAAACCATGCTAGGGTTTTTCCCTTCAAACATAATCCTGCCGCCATGAGATTCTTCTCTCGTGATACCTCATTCACTGCAAAGTAGGCCACCTAATACAACCATCAATGTGTATCTTCCCCAACAAAAAACGACATTTTCAATTTACAGACCCTCACATTGCTGCCCCAACTTCATTTTACTCAAGTATTTTCCCCATATATCTAGCGTGAAACTTCCTCCTTCGATCATAGTCATAACCCACTCCTGATTCCCCCCTTCTTCGTCTCTTTTGTGCCCCTTGCACCACCCCCTCTCCAAGTTCCGGTCCACCCCCTCCAACTGAAGTCTTGGCTCCTCACCCCAAAGTCCTAGGGGGATGCTCTTCGTGGTAGATAATATCCTCCTCGATGTCCTCCCGTTCGATCTCCTTCCCCTTTGATCAGACCACGAATTCTTTGATCAACCCTTGGTTAAGGTTTGTCATTTGAGCGGCCAGCAGGGTCTTGGACCGCATTTCCATGAGTCTCTTCATTATCTCTTGCATTTCTCCTATGCTCTCGAAATTGCACTCAATTAAGTTTTTTTATGGAAAAAAAAATTATCTTCCATGGCGGCGAACATTTCTTCTACTCCCGATTTGATTTGTACCACTTCCCCTTCCAATACATTCACTTTCTTTGCTACCATTCCCCCAAGATCTCGCTCTGATACGAATTTGATACGATTCGGAACCAAAATTAGTGAGCAAACAACGATGAACTTGCAATTGAAAGCTAGAAAACTAGAACGAGGGCTAGGGCAGATTTTACGCAAATCAAAGGAAAGCAAGCAAGATACATGGATAATTTACCTTTCGAAAGGTGGATAGTCTCTCCCACAACCCTAGACGTCGTTAGGAATACCACTAAAAGAAAAAGAAACTGCAACCAACAACAAGCATGCATAAAAAACAAAACCTAACCCTTAGGCACTATACATACTCCACAAGAGTCTCTTTCAATTTTCCACCCAAAAGCCCCCCTTAATTCCCTTCCATCTATGTGTGATCGGCGTCTTGGAGGGTCCACCCAGACGCTAGGATTGCCTGGACCAGATCTAGGTTGGGTCGGCTGGTCTGGCTCCTTATGGACAGTCTAGACTTGAACCAATTCACGCATCACAGAAGGAGTTTTGTGCATATCTTGGGTAACAGGAAGAGTCCCATGCGTATCATGGAGTCGGCTACATGAATCCATTTTCTCCATTGTGACTTAATGAGTGTAATATTTTCATTTAGTTCTAATAAATTAACATCATTTTTATACGGGCCCAAGTATTTTAGGTCTACATCTATCACTTTTAACAAAAGTTAAATCTAAAGCATCTACTCTCAAAATTGGATCAACAGGTGGTCGACGTTTAATGTGACCAAACCATCTAAGACGACTCTCTTTAATCTAGCTTTCCACTGGAGCTACACCAACCCTTAATGGATACATTTGTTTCGTATTTTATCTCTAATCGAAGGGGTTTACTAATAAAATTTTATATCGCATTATAGGAAAAGCACTTAAAGGAGCTCGAGAGAAGCTCCTTTTCACTTCATCTTGAAGTTCAAAAAATAATTTACTGTGTTATAGAGCTTTAAAGACACTTTAATATAAGATTCTATAGATTTTTTCTAGATAGAAGTTGAGCTTACAAGTTTTTTTTTTTTATTTCAGATCAAGGGGATTGAAGTTTCTTGTGGGCACAGAAGTCCATGACAAACTAAATCTTAGGGGGTTTAGTTTAATGAAAAATAAAAAAAATGCAGGTGAAAAGAATATGTATTTGAAAAATTTTGATGTTTTTTAATTTGGTTCAAAGTAAATGCAGGAATTTATTTTTTTTACTTGATTTGAAAAAAAGAAAAAAAAGATCAATGTACAATATGCTCTGAGATAGTGATTGCAGTGATCAATGATTGCGACACCTGAGGCATGCAACGGGTGGCAACGACCGGCACTTGGCAGTGGCGGGCTATAGGCTTATGTTGGTGGGGGCGGAAAAAGGGCAAGCTTTGAAGGCGTGGGTGACCGGAGATATGTGGTGGAGGCAATGGTGGGCAGCAAGTGTGTGTCAGGTTGCCAGCGGGCAATAATGGCAGTGACAACTACCTAAAATTTATAATATATTTGAAAATTGCACAAATCTAATGAATTCAAAATACATCAATTTTGAACTGCAAGTTGCATTTCAATTTCACCAAAATTTTACACAGCATTATATTTTCATCTAACAAAACACTAGAATTTTGAAACCCCATACATTTGATTTACTTTACACCACCCATGCAAGGAGCCAAACAACCTCTTAAGCTTAATAACTAAGAATATTGCCAATTAAAGCTGTCATTGCACTCTAAATGGCAGTTTCAAGTTTGATATCATAAGAGGAATAAATAATGATGGATATTTAAATAGAACAAGATCATATAACTCCATCATCCCAAGTTCATCTAATGGACCCACTCTAAAACCTATAGAGGATAAAGAGGTAGCATAATTCAAAAAGCTTCATTGACAATCATATGTAGCCTCCTCTAAGTAATTTCGGGTGTGCCAAGCTAGCATCATGCAAAAGTCAGTTGTCAACTCACAGCAAGGTTCAATAGCTAAAATCTGCATAAAAAAGGCCCTGAATAAGCAAGTGTCGTTGATAGTAATTTAAAGATTGTGAGTGGCCACTAAAGGGTTCAACAACTACCTTGTTCAATTTATATCCAGATTTTAAGTGACTGCAATAATTCAATTTCAATGCAATAGAGATCAATTGAGACTTGGTGTGAACCTACACATGTCCCTCATTGTCCCCAAGACCTTATCACAATCTTGGATAAATCACATGTAGAATCGATGCAGGATCAATAAGCTTAACCCAATCCTAATTAACTTGATAAAATTGCACCAACTAGATTTGACCCCATTGGTTGAGTTGTGCAATTTTATCACCCTACCTCAACCAACGGGGTCAAACCCAATCAACCTAAGTTTGTAAGATTAACTTAACCTTAATTGGACCCAGTCAAGCCCAAATAAGAAAATATCTAGGTGAACTTAAGGGATTGTTTAGTTGCAAGTATTAAGGATGTCAAGTAATTGAAAAGCGAAAGTTTTGATTTTAATACAAAGCATTTAGGTAAAGATTTTGAGACACCCCCACAACACCTATTTTTTAGGCATTTGCAATTCGCCCAAATTGGACGAATTTCAAATGCAAGAACATGTCAATGTCGACTCTCAACCAAACTTTCCTCACTCATCATTTAAAACTTACATCATCTCATCTAGATTTTAAATATTAAAAAATATATATATTAAATCATCAGATTAATTGCAAAAGTTGGATGATGAAATGGCTGTCATTCATGACTAATGATGACTAAGGATATTTGGTATCATTTTTATCAATCCTCAATCACAAATACTCTGCACCCTATCGAAAATGACATGAGGTTGAGATGTCATGCAACAGAAGTCAATATTTACCTAAATAGAAGAGAGGGGAACGAGGAAAATAGGAATGTTCCTCTATATGGCATCATCAAAGTTTTCAGATCAAGGATATGACCATCAAATTGATCCCTACAAGGAAACCTCATTTAGTAATGGTAGCAGAAGTCATCAGATCAAATAATCGATCAGATTTTTTCAAGTCAAATCAGTCAATAAGAATTTGAACAAATCCAACTAGAGCCAATTTGGACCACCAAAATTCAATCTAAGAATTTACAATGTCAGCCCTACATTAACAAAATCTATTTTTCGTCCTATCTTTAATAGATGTCACTCCAAAAAATTCTCTACTATAATAAGCCATCCATTAATTTACTTTTCTAATTTTGCCACACATTCCTCTAAGTATTCTCATTTTTTCACACTCAACTTAGATGACCATGACTTCTACCATCATAATGAAAAATTTTTAAAATTTAACTTTTAAGTCAACAATATGCCCTCTTATTTAAAACATTTTTTTGCATGAAACAATCAAAACAATGCTTAGCGTGGCATACACTACTTGTTATGCAGTGATTTTTGCTTCCTTTGACTATCATATACAACATATGAAATAATAATATCATACATGCAGCATTCACTAGATAAGAACACATAGTTCTGGCCTTTGCTATGAAGTATTGCAGAATAAAGAAATCAAAGATGCCTTTCAAACAACAGTCTATTTTTGAAAGGTTTAGGAGATACCCCAACTCCAATAACTTTGGAAGAACCTTCTGCAAGTAATAAGTTTTTGATGATAAAGCCTTTGTTCTCATGTTAACTATGCTACTTATATTGTTGTCAAAGCGTTGTAGCATCTCTTCTGGAAGTTCTCTAACCACTCTTACATGATCGCTGAGAGTTTCAATGAAGTGATCTTCATCAAAGATGTCCCCAAACTTGCTGAAAATATTTGGAGAAATAAGAGAATGTTAGAAAATGATTAATGCCATATATATATATATATATATTAAATGAATGTCTGAAAGCTATTAGACGAGCCCTGATCATCCCTAATTGTGTGAATTATCGAGTACCACACCCTACAAACAGGGGAATTCGAACCCGTGACCTGAGGAGACTTACGACTTTCAACAAGACTGCTCTACCAACAGGCCACGGTACGCGCGCATATATACACACACACACACACACACACACACACACACACACATGAGCCAAAAAGGCTCCCCAAATGAAATCTAAGATATACAGAAAAGAAAAAACTATTTGCCCTAAATCAGCTAAATCTGGATTAATGGACACCAGCTATTACAAAAAAGAATTATTTTGTTGCTGCTACAACGTCGTCCTATCCCTATAAGGCATATGAATAAATTGAGTATATGCTGATTATTTCGATATACAAAACCTGGAAACATTTCAGAAGAAAACATACATATGGCTTGAGGAACTTTTTTGGGAGCATTGTGGGCAATAAATTATTATATTCAAGCATTTAGAAGAAACATATAATGATTAGTAAATTCTGTATGGGTATTTTTTTTACATAATATATACCACAATTTAAAATGCACTTGGAAGTCTGGCAAGAAGAAATTTAAGTCATTCATTCAGCTTACGACCTTACTAAAAAACAAAAAATTTAGACAACATTGGCATATTAATTTGATTCACCTAACTACCATCAAACTCCTAGAATTTTAAATTTCGAATGAAGACATTTTAAATTAAATAAAAATTCATACGAATGGATTCATCTTTTCATAGCAAAATAATATTTAGAGCATTCAACCATGTCTTAGCAATATACTCCATCAAATTTATATACAAACAAATATATTGTGTTTGTAGGTTTAAGAGGCACAATTCAACTTAGACAAAAAGGCTACGTGAACTTCATACATTTGCATTCTTACTAGTGTTACTAAGAATTTCAACAGTCCCATTGTCTCAAAATGTTATTATTTGATCCAGAATATATATCAAAAGTAAATATGATGCTACAGATGTACCAGACAGCAAAAAAATATAACAAAATTTGGTGCTTTGCATATAGAAATGTCAACAAGGATTTGGGTTCTTTCTATAACTAATCAACCAATGATTGGATTACTACAATGGATGGACTACGTCGGGACATGTGCAGCATTAAGCAGAAGGGCTTTTGCATACAACACCTAATTCCTAAGTATTTACATATCTAACACCAAAAGTTTGTTTTTTTTTACATTTGTACCACCTGAATCTTTCAAATCACATAAAAATTACCATAATTTTAACTGTTAAAATGCGACACACCTTTTTTTGCATAGATAAGGTGGTATGTACATAAAAATTGTAGGTGTTAGATATGTAAATACATAAGAAATGAGTAATATGTATGTAAATCTTCCTAATATGTATGTAAATTCTTCCTAGAAAAAAACTAGCTCAGAAAGGAATAAAAATGTGAAGTAGCACATTTACCTTGAATCACGCCAAACACTATTTAAATGAAAAAAAGGGATGACAAGTGTTGCATTTAGAACTCCAGCAACAGCAACAGCATCGCATATCTGCATGAGGCAAAAGTCTGCTTTAAAGACAATAAAACACATCACAAAAAATATCAGGCTGTAAGTGGCCCTATCATCTCAAATAAGTCTAAATAAGGTGAAAATAGATAAAATGGTAAGGCAAAGAAAAAAAAAACACTTAATGAATTTCATCATCATTAGCCTTATCTCAATTAAATAAGGTCAGCCTTATGAATCCCTAATTTCTTAACAAAATCTTTGTAAATTCACAAAAAGACCATCATCGTAATTTTCCGTATAACAAGCAAGAATCGCCTAGTTTTTTTATTGAGTCGCGATCAATATATCAAGCTAAGGACAAAGAGAACTCTAATAAATGCAAGCAAGCATTACATCAAAGCACTCCTTACCAAACATTAGAACCCAAAAAAAAAAAAAACTACCTCCTATTGCTTGGTTGAAGACTGATTACAGCCCGGTAACCGGATAACATTCACTATAAACAAGTGATCCTAAACACAAGAAAGGAATAGATATCTACTTTTAGAACCATTTATGCATGTGTCAATTGTACAACATGATTAAATCTTATGGTCTATTTGGGGCAGCTTATTTGGTGCGGTGGCATTTTGAAAACGCTAAGTCGCGTTTGGATAAAACTTGTCGGATGCATTTTAAAAAAAAGAGTTTTCCATTTCCTATTACAAGCGGATCGCGGGGTCCTACCCGTGATCTGCGTTTCATCGCTCAGATCATGCCCCTGGTCTCGATGCTCCTCTACCCTAATTTCCCACGTCGCTTCTCTCGGCGCAAGCAAGTATCCCCTCGTCGCTCCTCTCGCCTCGTCCTTGAAGGTATGTTGGTATCCATCGTATCTCCTCCGTATCTCCTTCCGTTTCTTTTTCGATGTCCACGGAGACTGCTAATCGAGTCCTGCATTTCCTTCATCTTCCTCAGTTATTTCTTTCTCCTTATATTTATTCTAAGCCATTCTGCACTTCTTTGCAAATGGATTTGGTTTCCTTCATCTTCCTCGGTGAAGTTGGAGAAGTAACCCAATGGTTTGGAATTTTTTTTTTATCAAGCAGATTGATAGATCTGATGTTATCTCTGGTAGAAAAAATGTTATCATCAAGAATAATGATATAAAAATGGATATGTTATTACATAACAATTGTGCATCCATTGCCTGAAAGAGAGTATCCCCCGACCATCTATAACACGTGTGGTATGTATGTAAATTTTTTTAAAAAAACTGTTGCCTAAAGAAAGGATCTCAACCATCTATGATGCAGTTGTCAAACATCACTAGTGTCTCGTATGCAATACATACATAATAATTGTATAGCATGTATGTAAATTTTTCTTATAATTTTAATGGATGACACTACATCCATTTCTTGAAGAGAGGTTCCCACAACCATGCTTGTAATAGCTTAATATCAAACATCAAATATCTCTCATTGACATTCTTAATAGCTATATGAGTTTTGAAAATATATGTACTTCATTTTGAGGATTCTTGATATGCAGTTTAATAGCTTCAAATTTAATCTTAGTTTTGTGGCCAAATTTAACATGTAATGTAAGGAATATATATGGATATTTTGTTTGCTATGTTAGCTCATTTAAAATTCTACCTCTTTACATTGTTAGTCAATATTGTTTAATATTTGCAAGCATTCCTGAAGAATTGAATCATTTTCTTATTAGTCTCAGTATGGCTACGAACAAAAAAGCCTCTACGTCAGCTATGTGAGATAAAGATGTCACCAATATTTTTTGCAATTTATGTATTAAAGAGATGGTAATATGAAATTGATAATAAACATACCACATATTTTAACAAAGAAGTGTGGCAAAATATTTCCAAGAAGTTTAAGGAAATAACTGGCCGTAAGTACGACATATTAAAATTTAAAAACAAGTGGGATCAGCTAAAAAAGTACGGGAAGTTATGGAAGAAACTGAAACGAAGATCCATAGAATTAGGTTGGGATCCCATCAAACGTACCATGGATGCTTCAGAGGAATGGTGGGCTGATAAACTAGAGGTAATACTTTCACCCCTCTTATTCTGTTTAGGTTCTTCATTATTTAGCTTTCAATTTTGTCTGATATGCCCTAATTCATATTGCAGGTAGTACTAGCTGCGAATAAATTTAAGGCGTGTAGAATTAATCCGGAATTGGAAGATAAATTGGATGTAATGTTCAAGGGGTTTGTCGCTATGGGGCAAACTACCTTCAACCCAAGTGAGTTGGGGTTCAATGGCATATCAATCGACTTGACACCTGATCAAGTTATGGGTTCTGGTGAAGGTCCTAGCATAAACCTGAGGGAGCTCGAGTCCACATGCAAATCGAAGAGACGTAAGATGGAGAAGAAGATAAAAAAACAAAGATGTATTCGTGCAGAGCTCAATAGACAGACTGATAGGAGTATTTGCAGCTCCACAACCTGTTGAACCAGAAGTGGATGATCCCAGTGTTGATAGTTCTATGAACCTTTTAGAAGACATATCTGAAGTTGTGGTTGATAACGATTTCTTTTTAAAATGTGTGAAAGTCCTTGAGTGCCCAACAAGAAGGCAGATTTTCAAGAGGCTTCGGTCTAAGCTTCGCGTGGAATACTTGCGTCTGTCGATCGAAAAATGATTGTTGTATTTTTTAATTTTGTTGGATATGTCAGCTATTGTCTTATTTTATTACAGACCTTGATGTATGGAACTCTTTTTATAATTATGTAGTTTATGTGCTAATTGTTCGGTTTTCAAATATTAGCACTGCTTCTTAACTTCTATATTTTCTTATTTGTTTATTCAAATATAATTATTTTTCGAAGATGAATCGATATCGAGAACGCCGCAAAAGAATGACGGTTGCGATTGTTATATTATTGTTAGAATACTATCGCTCTACTATTGATCGAACACCACCAATGAACTCCTCGTTCATAGAGGATAAATGGGTAGGTGAGATGATAGTTGGACATCCAATGAGGCCCAGCAACATATTCTGGATGAGCGTACCAATTTTTCTGGATCTTTTGCGTGAGCTTCGTACCAACCACAGGCTAGAAGGTTCGTCAAGAACTACCACAAGAGAGGTATTAACAATTACTTTATACATTTTATATCAGAATGAATCGATCAGAGGAGCTATAGAACAACTTCGGCATTCTTCCGAGACAATCAGTCGATACTTCTCCGAAGGATTGAAAGCACTAATTAGTCTAGCTACCAAAATAATTAAGCCAGAAGATCCGTCATTTTGTAGTACTCCTGAGAAAATAGCAAATGAGAAACGCTACATGTCATATTTCAATATTAGTTTCTTTTATCCTAAACATTTTTTCTTCATAATGACTTCAAATCAATATCAAATGCAAACAGAACTACATCGATGCAATTGATAGTACGCACGTGGATGCCTGACTCCCGAGTGATGAGAAAGTGGCAGACATCAGTCAATGTGGTTCTCCAACCCAAAATGTTATGGTCGTTTGTGACTTTAACATGTGTTTTACCTTTGTGATGGCCGAATGGGAAGACAGTGTTCATGACAACCGTCTTTTTGCGTATGCCACAAAGAATAGCAAATAACGCTTCCCACACCCACCTCCAAGTTGACTTACTTTTGTTGAACCTATTATTTTTTATTTGTACGGATCACTAAAAAAAGTCATCTCTTTCGTGACAGACAAATATTATCTGGTGGATGTCGGTTATCCCTTACAGAGAGGTTATTTGAAGTCATTTCCAAACACCAAACTCAGCTCGAGGTAATATAAAACTGAGTTTTTGTGCAATTTATAAAGCTGAGAAGTGATATTTATGAGAGTTCCATTCTTTGCAATGTTATTATGAAAGTTTGGGTGCAATATATGGTGACCAATTAGCTGTTATTAAAAATATGAAGAAAAGATGGATTTATATTGCTGACAAGGTGGTGTGGTCTCAACACTGTGAGCCGAAAGCTTTGCTAATCATTATGTCGTTGAAGGTGTATGACCAAATGTAGGAAAACTAGTTGAAATAGGTTAAGATACTTTTGAAATATTACATTAGACGAGGTTGAGTGCAATGAAGTTTTTTGCTTCAACATGGTCAAGAGCATCCTCATTGTCCCAATAACAATTGTCTCAGGAATCATACTATGGTACTTATGGGTATGTACAAAATCATCGGCACAAAATTTATAGCAGTTTGGATGGCCCAATTCTTTAAGGGCAACCGCTGCTAAAAGATCTGTATAATAAGTATACTTTCTATATTTCCTCAATTTTTTGACTGATCTATTCTATTTTTAATGACTGTAAGACGATGAGTTCAAGATATTCAGGGAAGTCCGAGAAAGTAATGTGTCGGTGCGGGCTACCGTCATTGCTACTCACGTAACGCGAGACACATAGCTTCGAGAGGCAATTTTACAGGTGTCCGCGGTGGGCACAACGACAATAGGACTGCACTTTCTTCAGGTGGGCCGACATGGAGTCTGTTTCTATGATATCTCAACTAGATACCGCTACTCAAAGTTCGTCGATATCAAAATTTCAAAACACCGCATCTAGTTCGAGTGTTTCCTTTGCTAATGCATCCCACGCGGACAGGTTTGATCAAGATTCTGGAGTGTCAGAGCCGGGCAGCATAGACTGTGATATGCTGTTACATTTTAAAGTCAACATTATAATTTTTTTTTGTCATTCTGACATGTTACTTTTTCTTTTTTTTTTTGTTTCATTATACTCCATATTAGCAGGTGAATGTGCATTTTACTTTTGTATGCGTCACTTTGCTTGTTTGATGTGATCGAATATATTTGAGTTATATAAATGTAACTCTACATTTTTGTATGTTCTTGTCTTAATATTTGATCTCTAATTTTGTTCAGAAAATAATAAATTCTGCTACACAGATTATTCATTTAACTAAAAAAATTGCAAATAAGTTGTTTACAAAACACACCAATCAAACAACTAAACAGTTTATTCAAAACAGGGGCAGAATGGTCATTTTTTTCAAAATCAGTTATTTTCCAACGCACAAACCAAACAGTCAACCAGCTTATCCGGATCAGCTGTTCATCAGCAGATTATCAGGATCAGCAGATTATCAGGATAAGCTGTTTATCAGCAGATTATCAGGATAAACTGTTTATCAGCATAAGCTGGATAAGCTGCAGCTGCCCCAAACAGACCCTAAGAAGAAAATCTCAATGAGGTGTTAAAGTGCTTACTATGAAAGACATACCGCCTAACTGTTTGTTTCGTGCGTTAGAAATGCGTTCATCAAAACTTCGTTTCCTATTTTGCATTACACACGGATCCGCGATTCCTTATTGCGTATTACTCTGTTGCCCCTTCCCGTAATGTTTTATTCTTCCTTCGTTCGCGATTCTTCTTCCTTCATTCGCGATTCGGGAATAAAGGAAGCTCCCAGTGCCGCAGATTCTTCCTTTGTTCGCGATTCTTCTTCCCGGATTCGACATTGCTTCTGCTGACAGAGCTAAAAAGTCGACGGAAATGGAGGAGGGGCTTCTGGAGAGGGAGGAGGAGGGGACAGTGAAGGAATGTTACGGGGATTTTGCCTCTGAGGCGCGGAGGCTAGGTTATCTCGTCGGGCCGATGGTGGGGGTGACGCTATCTCAGTACTCAGTTCAGGTAACCTCTTCGATGATGGTCGAGCATCTCGGTGAGCTCGCCCTATCCAGTTCCGCCATAGCGACATCCCTCGCCGGTGTCAACGGATTCAGTCTTCTCGTAAGTCCTTTTTCTTTGATAATATGTTTTCCGTTTGATTATTCTGAACAGAGCTATGAATCCAACTTCCTGAAGAAGTCTGTTCTGATTTTAGTCTTTTTTAGATTTTGATTGGGTTTCTTTCTTTTCGTGTTGTTTGAAAGGGATTGAAATCGCTGTTTGTGAAGGGATGAAATATGTAATAAACGGGGTTAATCGGGTTTGATTAGGAACTAGGAAAGTCGAGCTCATCTAATATAATGAATAGAAACATGCTATTGTCAATCATTTCATTTCTCATAAAATAATCTACATATATATATATATATACTTTGATTAGTTTCGGATCGACAAGAGTGATACAATATGCTAGACTTTGTGTCGATCGGTTGATCTAGTCTTGCTGTCGAACCTCGATCCTTTGATGAGGACCAGATCGGAGAAAAGCTCGAAGCTTTTGTCGGATTCAACTTCATGAACCAGAGAAGTGGAGATCGGGAAATGGTTGAGGCTACTTTGGGCATGGAATGGATGCGGGAGGAAATTGTTGAACTTGAAATCTTCGATCGAGCCCGTAGCGATTCGACATTTCGACATTTATGCAGCAACGGATTAAGAAATCGGTCATCCCTGTTCTGCAGAATTATGGAACTTCTCAAATCAATCACATAGATCTGCACGCAGAAAGCTATCTTTGAACCTTAAAAGCCTCTCTTTCAAAAATCGAGATGAGTTTGGTCATTATGTTGTTGTCGCAAACAGCTCGACTGCGTGTGGTAAAATGATCATTTTTCCAAAAACAACTATAAATAAGCTATTTACAAAACTCACAAACCAAACAACTAAACAGTTTATCTAAAACAGGGGTAGAATGGTCAGTTCTCCAGAATCAGCTGTTTTCTAGACGCACAAACCAAACAGTCCGACAGCTTATCCGGATCAGTTGCTCATTAACAGATTATCAGGATAAGCTGCTTATCAGCAGAAGCTGGATAAGCTGCAGCTGCCCCAAACAGACCCTTAGTGTTATTCCAGTTATAATAAGAACAAATTTTACAACAAGTGGTGCTCAAAGACTGAAAAAAGTATATTTTGTAGAATTTAAAAACATGTTGTCCGAAAAAAAAATTTAGCACAACATTAGCAATAAAATATAAATGCTTCCAAAACAAACATGTTGTTAGCTGGCTACCCATAGAAGGTTGGCCTAAAAGCGATGGCTATATAATGTGACCTTGCTGTTTACAGTTAGGTTCCAATATCAGGGAGAGTTGCGCAAAATTTGGTTGTTGATATACTTCAAAGGGTAAAGATGAGGATAGAGATAGAGAGAGAGAAAGCAAGCGAGCAAGAACAGCACACTTAGTGAAGAAGACTTGGTTGCTCCTACATGTATTTCCCTGCATTCAAATTTTCTCCTTGACAAGGCACCAAACTCTAAATCACCTTAAACTAAATTTATGGCCCTTAGACCTGGCTAGCAACTCCTTATTTCAATTCCTTGAGGAAAAAACGAAGAGATTGTTTTCTATCTAGAAGAAAACAAAAGGTAAGAAATGTAATGCGTGATGGCGAACCTCATGAAATAAGTTGTCAGCTTATTTTCATACATGAACATACCGAAAGACGTTGTTGGTTCAGTCCCCCATTAGCTTCAATTATGAGATAACCATTTGAAGGTGGCAACCCTAAAACAGAAAGTAGTAAGATTCTTCGATGAGAATAAAGCCAGGATAACATATTGGAAGTCATTGTTATACAGATAGGTAAAAAGTAAACCTAAGGAGCAAGCTAATAGATTAAATGCTAGGCAAAAAGATCAATAATGGGAGCTGTAACCCCCAAGACAGCAACCCCTCCACTCAAAATAAGAAAATTGATAAATTAATTAACAAGGGCATTTACATTTGCACCAGCTAATTCATATGTATTTACATATCTAACACCTAAATTTTACTTTTTTACATTTATACCACCAATTCTTTCATGTCACATCAAAAATATCATTATTTCAACTTTTAAAAAGTGAAATAAATATTCTCATGCATGGATAAGGTGGCATATATGTAAAAATTGAAGTTTAGGTGTTAGATATGTAAATGCATAGGAATCAAGTGGTATGTAAGTAAATGTTCCTAATAAGTAACAAATGAATCCAACCAAAAAAACAAAAAAAACTCTTTAAAACACTATGCATTGCATCTATATAAGAAAGCATCAATTTGCTTCATAGCTCCTATCTAACTATACGGTTAAGGCATGCATATCATACATGAATGATTAAATTCCTACGAAGATTCCATAATAGGACAGTTCTAATAGAAAAAAAAATACAGCTTTTCAATACTTCAGCAAAGCTTTTTTCAAATCCATTGAAAGCTATCAAGAGCCTGTGGAATGAAAACACATTCCACAAGCTTGTCATTGTTATTAAAGCAATTGGATAGCAAGTGTTGTAGCACAGCTTCTTCGTAATACATGAATGAGAAAACGATTAGATGATATTATGTAAACTTCCTGGAGAGAACAGACTAATAAAAAAAAATGTTAGGGGCATTTGCATACTGATTGGCCAAAACTTTCTATTTACCAAGCAACCATCCTCTTTCATCCATTTTTCAAATTCTCGCTCAAATATCAAAGTTCATTCATGGTAAAACCCCAACCCTAAAACCCCAACCCATATTTTCAACAGTTTAATTGTGGCACGCATAAATACATTAATTCAGCAGTTAAAAAAAATCACCTGGGTGGTTAATTTATAAATATGAATGTTTCGGGTGCTATATGTAATTCTACCAAAATGTTAATACTGCAAACAGGCTATTTTCAATGGTATTGAAAGAAATAAAGAGTGGAGTATATGCAAGCAAAAAAACTTGTTAATATCAAATTCTTTAGATAATATATATATATAAGTTTATCCACACTTAACCTATAATCTTTTCTTCTGTAGGTTGAACCTTGATTAAAATACCTTTTATTATGAAGGAAAGCAGAAATACTCAATATCAATAATGGTCTTGTACATATGTCTTAAGATTCAGAAAAGCCTTAAAATGTTGGTGAAGAGAGTTATTATTATTATTATTATTATTATTACATAAAGAAGACTAGTCATCATACCAGTATATGCTAGTCAGAACAACAATAAATTATAACATCACTACAAACCTGCTTGAGATAACTTCTTTCTGAAACAAGGCTTCCATCTATGACTTGTTTTATGATTCCAGGCTGTTTCCATCTGCACAATCTCAAAAGAAAGAATATTATAAATAACATTAAAAGCAGGGAAAAGCTGCAAAGCTGCCTAAACCTAACTTCTGTTCAACAGTAGAGTTGCTTGGTAGAGATTTTATCACATCTTAAGGTGTTCAGAGAATATCAGTTGATTTTATCACAGTGATAACTATTTATAAGCGTAGAGGATGCCTTCAATGAGAAGGGGAATATGGGATAATTACATGCAGTCCGCCCGAAACATTGATATTTACAAATTAACCACGCAGGTGAATTTTTGAACTACCAAACTGATGTATTTAAATGTGCCAAGGTCAAATTATTGAGAATTTGACAAAAATAAAAAATATAGGTTGGGATTTTGCCATGAACTTTGATATTTGAGTGAGAATCTGAAAAATGGATGCAAGAGGGTGTTTGATCGGTAAATAGCAAATTTCGGGTGGTTCGTATGTAATTGTCCCATGAAGAAAATAAACATAAATTTTACCAAATTATAAACTCACCTGATTTCCTGATATTATTTCCTGATACACATCATACAGTAACAGCAAAATGCAGTAAGTTTGCCAATGTTCACTGACACTGCTAATGCTTTGTTTTCATTAGAACTTGTTTATGAATTTAATTCCTTACTACAAGGAAACAAGCACTCAGAGATATAAAGATCAGAACAAAAAAACCAGAACTCTAACTTATGAATAATGAAAAAAAATGATACTCGTATTCACCATGAATCATAAGACTCTATGTTGCAGCTATCCTTGATAGTAATAATAATAACAAACAGAGATGAAGTAAAGCGCAGACAAATCAGCAGAGCACAAAGAACCAGCGCGCCTTCAATTCACATAATGAACAAATATGAAGTGATGATCCACAATTTACACTCCCAGAATGCACGTTTCTTGATTTCCCGACAAAGAATGATATACGGAAATTAAAACCAGAAGCGGCATAAATAGGAAGAAAGAAAAAAAAAGGAGACAAATCTCACCGCATTAGAATGATTGACGTCTGCCTGCATATAGGGCCAGAGTTTCTGGAACACCTGCGGACTCCGGTAAACCGAACCCGGCGGCGGCCGGCGGAGAATCGCCACCCCTACTCTAACCGGCACCCCCTCGAGGTCCCAACTAAGCATAAGCATCGCCGTCACGTACAGCAGCGGAGCGGCCAGTAACCATCCCCTTCGCCTTAGCACCGTCGCTAGAACCCCATGCAGACAACGCTCCGTTCCCCTCCCAGCGCTCGACTTCCTCTTCCCGGCCCTCGGCGAAGTAGACGGAGACTTCTCACCACCGCTCCCTCCGCCTCCCGAGACCACCCTCTGCGCCGTCATTCTTATCGCCATTGGCGCTGCCGTCCAGATCCAGCAATTCCCCCCGACTTCTGAGCTCATTCGGAAGCCAGTTTCTTACAAGTTCAGAACGGCGCGGAAGCGAACTTCAACTGAAGCGCTATAAACCCTCCCAGAGCACTAAGGGCCGCAAAGTGGGAACCAGATGAGAGAAGACTGAAGAGACGCGGAGAGATAGATGGAGAAAGAGAGGTAAAAACAGTTTGGTTTCGTTTTTTAGCCTTTTGAAAGCTCCCAGTACAATCAATGCAATCCGTGAACCGTGAATGCAATGAATGAGAAGGTGTGGGTGCCTGCTAATTTGAATGCTGCCGCTTCGGAACTTTTATATATATATATATATATATATATACCAAATAATGGTTGGAAGTTGTGATATAATGTGTCTCAAGTGTCTAACCACTTGATTTTGTATTGTAAGGTAAATGCTCTCAGATGAGATCGAATAGTGATCTAAGAAAACTTACACTATGTTATACTATCAAAGAGTCGGAGTGTACATGTAACCCATCTTGGCATCAAAAATGAAGGTAGAGTCTTTTATGGATGAAACTTGGATGATTGAACAGCACAGGATAACGGGCATAACGACCGAAAAATTATTTCATACAGATCGGACACCGCACGCAGCTTGCGAGATCTACGGTCCGGATGTATTTCGGTGGGCCCCACCTAATTTTAAAAAAAATGAAAATAATCCTGACCGTAGATCACCATGATCTAGGGTCAGGATCGGACACCGCATGCAGAGATGCATGCGGTGTCCGTATGCAATAATTTCTCATAAGCCTGGAAAAGCTAGAATCCAACTACATGACAGAGAAAAGATCTTCACAAAGCTTCAAAGGAAATGAACCATACAGCAACCTGAGGGAATCAAAGTTGAAAGGAATCATGGAATAACTGCACAACATATATGAAGGGATTGAGTGTTTTGGTTATTTTCTCTCTTTTATTTTTGTTGAAGGAGTCGTTAGTGTGTTTATTTATAATCGTCATATTATTTTCTTATTCGTTTAAATCTCCCTCTCGAATAAAATTAGTAACGAACAGCCTGGAAAAGCTAGAATCCAATCTTCATGACAGAGAAAAGATTTTCACAAAGCTTCAAAGGAAATGAACCATAAAGCAACCTGAGGGAATCAAAGCTGAAAGGAATCATGGAATAACTGCACAACATATATGAGGGGATTTATATAAAAGAGTGTTTTGGTTATTTTTCTCTCTTTTATTTTTATTGAAGGAGTCGTTAGTGTGTTTATTTATAATCGTCATATTATTTTCTTATTCGTTTAAATCTCCCTCTCGAATAAAATTAATAATCTAAAGTAAATGGGAACCGAAGGGAATGATATACGGCAGGTAATAGACAAATGAGAGAAAGAACGTTAAGAAATTTTGTAAAGTAAACTCCTCGTACATAAGACTTGTTTTAATGCACTTTCCTTTCGATTTCTTCTACATATCCCTTTATATAGGATGTTTTTTTTATATTGTAAATGTTACTAATCATAGCATATAATGAAATTTGGAGAAAAGAGGAGGCGGGTGCTGCTTTTAAGATAGGGAAATAATTTTGGATTTTTGGGTAGTGATCCCAGACCGTTTTTAGATTTGAGAATGTTTGGATGAATTCATCGACGATAAAGCTAATTCGACATTGATTTGTGTGTGTCGTGTCAAATAAGACTCGTGCACGAAATCCTAACAATATAGGTGTCTTTCATAGGCAAAATCGACATTTTGGATGCACTCGCGCGGTTTGTTTTATCGTTCGGATAAGTTTCATTGATGGGCGGGTCAATTTGACCTCAATTTGTGTGCATCGCGTAGAATGAGCTTCGTGCACAAAACCTCATCAATATGGGTATCCATCATAAGCAAACCCAATATCCACGACAACCTCGCGCAGTCTGTTTCATCATTTGAGGTCGTCCGGACAATTTTGTCGATGATTAGGTCAAATTTAAGCGTGATTCGCGTTGAAACGATTTTCATTGACGTTTTGAGTCACGAAAACATGTGTATTAGAAAATATGGTTCCATGACAGCAAAAACTTGTGTCAGCCATAGAAGACATTAAAATTTTATGCCAACAAATGAATCCCAAAAAGTGCATTGCGACGCTAAAGCACAATGGGCTTGTTGGAAGCAGCTAATTTTTTTAGTAGATTAAGGTTAATTGGATCTTCAACACAGTCTGGTCTACCAAAAATGGCTCGACGAACTTGCTATCAAGCCATGAAGACTTGGCCAGTTATGGTGTTATGTCCCAACTCCCAAATAAGCATTATCTTTACTGAAAGAGAGGAACATGAATATGCTAGGGTGGAAATCTCTAGCACTTACATCCAACCAAGAAATTGACTAGTTCGAGCACGAATGTGAAGGGACTCACATCCATCTGAAACACTGATCAAGGTGATCGGATTATGAAGGAATGCACTTGGACTCAGATTCTGCCTAGGAAATTGACAATGCGACTAGATCGAGGAGGAATGCATTAGAACTCAGATCCTACATGAGAGCTAGTAAAAAAATAATATCAGGAAAAAAAGCACTAAGACTCACATCCAAACTGAGTGGATCCGTCTGACCCATCTTTGAAACGACGAAACAATAAAGACCTCTACCTGAACATATTCACAAAGTAGATGTGAAGGCTGAGTTATATCATGTAACCCATTCATCTATTATGCTTTCCCGTAAGAAGCCGATTGTGCCTTTAGCTATGGTTCTCGTCAAGCGAAACACATACCCGACATCTGCTTGACCATATTCGCAACAACAAATGAGGGATAAATCTTGAGTACACTAGAAAGAAATGCACTGAGACTTATATCCAACCTAGAAAGTAAGCATGCTGATTAGTTCAAACAGGAACTGCAAGGGACTCACATATGCTCTAGAACTAATCAAAATGATTGTATCAGGAAAGAAAACACTGGGAGTAACTTCCAACCTGAGATTAGATCGAAGCATGGAGTTTGTGATAGACTAGGAAAGAAAACTCTGAGACTCACATCCAACCAAGAAGGTGACTAATTCAAGCAAGAATGACGAGGGACTCACATTCATTCGAAAGCTAATCAAAGTGATCATATCATGAAGGAAAACAATGGGGATTCACATCCAGCCTGAGATTTGATTGTGGTACGGAGTCTGTGAAGACTAGGAAAGAAAACTAGGGGACTCACATCCAACCTAGGAATGTGACTAATTCGAGGAAGAATGCCAAGGGACTCATATCCCCTTGAGCTAATCAGATAATCGTATCGGGAAGGAAAACATTGGGATTCATATCGCATATGATAAACTCTTACCTGAACACATTCAAAACTGTAGAGGAGAAGGCTGAGTTATCTCGTGTAACTCGGTCATCTATTATGTTTATTCTTAAATAACCAACCATGCTTCTATTTGTGGTTCCCGTCAAGCGAAACACCTTTTCAACATCCGCTTGACTGTCTTTGCGACAACAGATGAGGCACAAAGTTTGCATATACTAGGAAGGAATATGCGGGGACTAATATCCAGCCTAGAGAGTAAGCAGGGTGACTATTCCAAATAGGAAAGTCGGGAAACTCATATCCAATATTGGAAGCTAGTCGGGGAAGATCAAATCAGAAATGAAATCGTTGGGATTCACATCCAACCTGAAATTTGCTTGAGGCACAAAGTCTTAATGAACTGGAAGGGAAAGTCAGGGCACTGAAATCCATCATAAAATGTGATTAGTTTGAGAAACAATGCTAATGGGCTTACATCCACTCAATGATTAGTCAAGGAAGGTAGTGTCTGGAAGAAAAGCACGGGGATTTACATCAATTATGAAATTTTATCAAAGCACATATAACCCAAATATTCTAGAAATGAACGCACTAGGACTCATATTCAATATAGAAAGTGAGCAGGGGCTCTAAAATAGAAGATTGTTTTGTCTGACATGTCTTTTGAAGCGACAGAATGATAATGATTACTTCTTTACTTGATCATATTTGTGATAGTCGAAGAGAAGACTCGATCATCTCATATGATTTGAGTCATCTATTATGCTCCCCCATAAGAAATCAACCAAGCCTTTTGGTTGTGGTTATCGTCGAATGAAGCTCCTACAGAGGCTCAACATTTGCTTAACCATATTCCGTACGACAAAGTGAAGTGCGTAAATCACGAAAGAAACAAGTCGTGTTTTAGTTACTACCCTTATATCGTAACAAGTAGTTAGTTACTACCCATATATTTAGCCACCACCGTATAAAATCGAATTTAGCACAGAAGGTAAGAATAAAAATAAAACTTTTTAATGCATTCAGCATGTGTTTATTTTAAATTTCCTTTTGAACCTCAAATAACCGAAGCTCGTTCTTGCTTTCTTTTTTTAAATTAATTGGGTGGAGCTATAAATTTATAAAAAATTTACATAAATTACTATACTCGTGTTGTGATGATTAGGACTGTCGGAAAAGTACTTTGTTACGAACAACTCGTGTTTGACTCATTAAGTAACTCGTGTTCAGCTTATTTGTTAAATAAACGAGTCGAACACGAACAAATTTTTTTAAACTCAAATTATAAACAAGCCGAACACAAGCAACTCTTTGTTCGCTTAGTGTTTGTCTCTTTCTAGCACAAAGTAAAAAAAAAAAAAATCATATAATTATTTATATAATAATATATTATTTATTTTTATATCTAAGTTTAAATCATAACAGTTCAAGTGTTAATGTGTTTTTGCGCATTCTTTTGTAGAGATTTGTTCTAGATTAAAATCCAACACTCTACATCTATTTTTCCAATTAATTTTAATGAGTCAATTTCGAGTCAACCATAAATAAGAATATTTAAATTAAGTTCAACACAAACACACTGTTCAAGAGCCAATTTTGAACACCAACAATTTCCAACGAGAGTAACTCGAGCCAACTAAAGCTCGGCTTATTTACAACCCTAACCATGATGTTGCTTACAAGTCATTTATTGATTATGTTTTTTATCAACCCATCATCATTATTGATGTCATGATCATGTTGCCAAACTTGTTTTATTACATTAATGAAAAAAATCAGATTTTATATTTTTTTTTTAAATTAAAAAATCATGTTAAATCATCACATTTGTTCTCCTTTAATAATAATAATAATAATGTCAAAAAATGATAATGTAAAGAAATTTAGGACCTAAACCAATGTTTTCTCCAAATAAAAGCATACACATACTATGCGGCAAGCATTCACCATAATTTAACCTAAGAAAAAAAAGGCATCGCCACGAAGAATATTTACATAAAATAAACTTTAATTATTTATTTGCATAAAATGAACAAAAGAGCTGATTCCAAAAGTTCAGTTCTATTTATTTATTTGCATGCATACCACACAAAATCTTATGTATTTATATATCTAACACCTGAACTTTAATATTTACATTCATGCCACTAAGAACTTAACATCACATCAAAAATATCACTTTCATTAACTTTTTCGAGTCACGTGCATCTCTTTTTATGCATGCATGGAAGGAGTTATAAATAGAAATATCTAACCTTAGCTGTCAGATTTAGACACATAACTACATAAGAATTGCATTGCAGGTATGTAAATTTTCCTAAAAACAATTGAAGATTTACATACAAACCACTAAATTCACATGTATTTATATAAATAGCACCTAAACTACAATTTTTACATACACATCCCCACCTTATCTATGCTTGAAAAGGTGTATTTCGCATTTTAAAAGTTAAAATGGTGGTGTTTTTATATATAAGAAGGATTTGGATGCCATAAATGCAAAAAGCAATGTGAATACATAGGAATTGGGTGCTATTTTTGTAAATGCCCCCATTCTGGAACTTATGATTCAATCTAACAGCAGAGTACCCGAGTGATTAATTCTGAAAATAATTATAGCCTTAATCTAAACTATTAAGAGGGTGTTAGGAAAGCTAGATAAGGATTTGGTTAGCACAGCTGGTCAGGAAAAGAAGGCAAAGTTGAAGAAGAAGAAGCAGTTGGAATGCATAATGGAGTTGTCTCAGAAGCTGGCAGAACGCCATGGCTTGTTTGAGCATCTTGCTTGCACATAGGGCAGAATGTTCTCCACATAGTAAGCCATGAATCAACACAATTCGCATGAAATCCTGCAAAAGAGAATGTAGCAATCATTTTTTTTTTTTATCAAAAGTTAAAATAGTGGTATTTTTATGTGATACGGAAGATTTAGACGGTATAAATGTAAAAAAAATAAAATTTAGGTGTTTAGACATGTAAATACATGGGAATGGGGAGGTATGTATATAAATGCTCCCTTCTATTTTGTATTCTTGTTTTTGTTTCTGCTTTTGCTTTTAGATATATATATGTTAAGTGTATTTTTATATGTTTTTATATTGGAACATTCACATACATACAACATAATTCTTACGTATTTACGCCTTTTACATTGATATTTGCATGCATGTCACTCAGAACTTGAAAGTCACGTCAAACATACCTTCATTGCATCTTTTTAGTAGGTTTATAATACTAAGGCGCTACGCTCCCACCGCCAACAAATATCCCATGCCGCATTTCATGAACAACCATGCCCGAGAATGAATGAATTGTGATATAATGCCTTAATAATCCATAGCTCTATTCTCAACTAACGATTTGTTACGATCCAATTGTTTCTTCCATATAATTTTCATGTTGCAAGCATAATACAAAAAAAAAAGTCAATATCTTCAGGCCTAAACCTCTCTAGGTGTGTAAGGCGGTGTGTAAATATAAAATTTCAAATGTTAGATATGTAAATGCATACTAATTGTGTTGTATGTATGTAAATTTCCCAAAGTTTCTTTAAAAACAAAACGGTTGCTTTGGTGAGTTGATTTTCTTCTTGCAAGAGGTTGTAAACAGTAACAATCCATAATTTACCAAACATTAAAAAAGGGGTCAAAATGCTAATTAAACCAGAAGAATGACACATACTGTGATGGCAGGGTAGAATCCGAAGTTTTTCTCCAACACTGTAATCCTCAAGACAAATAGCACAGGTTTTCGTCGTGCTATCGCCTCGTAAAACTTCTGAGAACAACTGACTCTGCATCGCTTCGACCGATCGATTGCTCATTCCATGGAAAACATGGACTCGAGAAGCTCCCCGGCGAATATGGGTAATGCGGCGTCCACGCACAAAAAAACAAGCAGCCAGCACAGCGGACAGAGCGAGTAGTGATACGAAAGAGATAGCCCAAATAGCCCACGGTGAATTCATAAAGTATGGAATGATCCATAGCTCCACATCAGTATGATTAACATATTTCTTTAGTTCTTCACCTGATACCTTGGAGATGAACACAGCATGAATGCTGATGCCTTCTGACTTTCCTGCCACTGTAACGTTTGGATGGAGTATATTATATATAAATTTTAGAGGCATTTACATACATAATCACACAATTCTTATGTGTTTACATATCTAACACCTACACTTTATTTTTTATATTTGGAGCATTTACACATACACCACCAAGTTCCTAAGAATTTACATACCTAGCACCTAAACTTTGCATTTTACATTTATATCACCCAAATCTTTCATAGCCAAAAAAAAATATCATCATTTTTAACTTTTACAAAATTAAATACATCTTATCATGCATAGGTAAAGTGGACATGTATGTAAAAATGGAAGTATAAATGTTAGATATGTAAATATATTGGGAACTGAGTGGTATGTATGTAAATCTTCTAGATTTTATAACACCCATATCTTTCATATCACATCAAAACTGCCACTACTTTAACTTTTAAAAACTGACACACATTTTAATGCATAGGTAAGGTGGCATATATATGTAAAAATTGAAGACTAAGTGTTAGATATGTAAGTACATAAGAATTGAGTAGCATGCATGAAAATCTACCTTATATTTAATTTCATGGCATAAAACTAGCACTTACATTACAAATGTGAAAACATAACAAGAAGAAAATGTGCAATACACATTTTTATGCACCGGTTGGTAAGTATGCAAAAATTAAACTTTGGATATTAGATATGTAAATCATAGGAATTAAGTGGTATGTACGTAAATCTTCCCCCCTTTTTTGTTTGAACAGTATAATAAAAGACAAGCATGCTTTCTGTGAATGTAAGCAATAGAATCACATCTAATAGTAGCACTCAAGATTACAAAGCCATGTATCACAAATTCAATCTTCAACTTAAAAATTTTAATATAATACCAGTAATAGATTTAAGGTTGATATATAAATGAGTGATAAAAAGCATTACTTGTCACCAATCCACCATTATATTTATCGTCATATACGATGGCGGCTTCGAATCCAGCACTTTGTGCATTCTTAACTTTGTCATGAAATGAGCAGCCTCCTCTTATTATCAAAATAAATGGAGATAATGAACCGTTAGCCACTGAAGCTTTTAACCGAGTGCACGCATCGAGAGGTTCAGCGAGATGCAAAAACCCAACCTCACCAGATTCTCGAATAGGCGGAGCTACAAAAGTAAAAAAA